GTTTACATTTAACTACTTCGTTTCAGATTTTATTCATTTATTCCTAGTGTGTTCTTCTTCTCATGCAATGTTGATTTCATGAGCAATAAAACACTAGATTCCAATACATATATCCTGTCACGGGGCATGATGAGGACTCAAACGCAGACAGTCAGGTGTAGTGAAAAAAGGTTTTAATGAACCAAAAACACAGGGAATCCAGGGACAAGACAAAAGACGAGGGGGAAAATCCGGCAGGAAAAGGCAGAACAGGCAGACTGGAAAACCGGGAACAGGACGAGCAAAACGGGCAGGTAGGTAGGAAAACAAACAATGATCTGGCAGTGGGTGTGTGTGTGTGCAGCAGAGGTTTAAATAGTGAAGGAGGCAGAGTGAGCAGGTGAGAGTAATGAGGTGAGTGTGACTGGCAGGTGCACTGAATGAACTGATTAGGTGAGTGAGGAGCTACAGAAAGAAACACAGACACAGAACACACAGGGCAAAGCCTGATTGTGACGTATCCTTATGTGATCCGGTGCAGTAGATTATGATTAACGTTAGCTAATTTTCGACAGGTTACTGATTTACTTCATGACTCTTCTATACTGTTAAACTGCACATACAATGTCTATATTTTAGCGTTTAGCATCTTGTAATTGACATTTATGGTTACATAGTTTTGCTCTAAAAGGTTTGCTTTGTCTGACTGCTTTAGCATTTAACTTCTTCACATTGTTCCTTCTTTTGCAGACTTTTCCAACACACACACAGGATTATAATTCAGTTCACATACAAACCGGTATCTATATCATGACAATGATAAATGAGTATAATTGCTCTTTATGTAACCATATCAACATTAAAAAACCCACAATAATGTGTGAAATTAAAGACACTCCATTGTCCTATGTGTTGACAAAATCAATTTTTTTCATCTTTCTTTATTGTGGCCTCAACATTTTTCTTCCAGACATCTTTTTTCATTTCTGACCATTTTTTTTCGACTGCCAACATGTACAGTGCAGCTGCTGTAGAAATGTTTTTTTTTGGACAATATATTGGTAAAAAACATTGTTCTTTGCGGAACAATGTTCCGAAGAATGATAACGAAGAAACAAATGATGATTATTGAGACCGAATCAATCTAAATAACACAAAATTGAGAAAGTAAAGACTCCCTTTGGCCCTATAGTGTTGACAAGTGTCTCCTCTTTTTTGTGGCCTTAACAGTTCTTTTCTTTCTCAGTATTTTCCAACATTCACAGGATCATAACTCAGAGCTGCCAAAATGGACACAGCAACATGACAAATCCTCATGATCCAATTCATGGGACAATGTATGCGAACAACACTGCTCTCAGAAGAGAGAAATAGTGACTAATGTGACCAAATCAACATGACAGACAAACAAAACAAGACACTTTTGGTCCAAAGTTTTGACATAACATCCCATCAACAGCTTGTTTGAATGTTTCGCTCTATACTGAAAACAAAACATCAGTATTCTGTTGACCTTTTCCCCATTTTTGCTTGGTATTTGCCACCACACAACAGATCAAAACTCATATGATGGAATAAGCTATATGCCTTTAGCAGAAAAAAAACATAAAACAGTCAGAAATAAAGAGCTCTTGGATTTAAGCGTTGACAACATGTCCCATCTAGGCCTCCTTAAAGTGTCTCCTGTGTATCGTGACCTTAGCATGTCTCCCCCTCACACCCTCTCCTCCACTTTCCAAACACACGCTGGATCACAGGCCTCGCATCCACGGCTGCCAAGACAGACGTTGCAGCTCGCGACGAGGATGTGAAAATGAAATATGAAACAGTGGTGTGATAAACTGGTAGATAATCATCTTTTCATTAAACTTTCATCCCCAGTGACTTAAATATTCAAGAGCCCAATTACAGAACTTGTATCTCCCTCTCCCTCTTCTCGCTGCTCTTAACAAGAGCAGTGGGAGGGGGGGAGTGGCTTAAGGGGTGAGTGAGAGCATCATTATGGAGCGGTCACACGTATAGGGGGGGAGAAAAGAGATGACCCGTCGTCCCTCAACGAGGACGGGGAGCAGCAGGCCTGTCCAGAGAAGAAGAGGAGGATGTGGAGACAGACAGACAGACAGACAGGCAGACAGACAGACAGACAGACAGGCAGGCAGACAGACAGACAGACAGACAGACAGGCAGACACGTAGCAGCTGTGCAGGTCTGACCGATGGAGGGACGGTGGGAGACAGACAAAGAGACAGAAGCAGAGTGGTATATAGATTTTCCAAGCAGATAGTGGAGAGATGTGTGCATCCTGATGAGTGCCACAAACAGGGAGCATGACTCTCTGTTGTCTGCCTGTTTCTGTGTGTGCATGTGTGTGTGTGTGTGTCAGTGTATTAGCAGTCAGAGCACTGAGGCCCACGGGCGATTCCTGTGTGTGCTTGCGATAAAGGGAGAAAAAAAAAAAAAAAGGAAGGGAGGAAGTATAACGTGGGGGAAGCGGGGCGTGGGGGGAGGGGTGGGTGAGAGGAGAGATGAGGAAGTTGGTTGGGGGGGGTATGCAGAGAGTGAGAGAGAAAGAGAGTTACAAAAAAAGAAAAGAAGGGAGAGGTAAGAGCATCCAGCAGAGCAGGGAGCTTCCTCTGTGCTGTCAAAGCCTCTGGATCATGTCCCCATTGGTCTCTCTCTCTCTCTCTCTCTCTCTCTCTCTCTCTCTCTCACACTCACACACACACACACACACACAGACACGCACACGCGCGTTCCCTCACCCAATTGCTCTCCTTTCTCCCTCAAACCAACCCCTCTCCCCCCTCCCTCTCATGAAAAGAGTGTCTTGGCAGGGTAATTAAGAATGGCCTCTAAACACAGGAGAATGGCAAGAACGCTCCAGATGAAAGTAAATGATTAAAATAATTACAGGCTGAGAGCTGACGAGCCGGAGTGTGGGGTGGCCGCCGGACATTTGTCGGTAATTAGATAATTAATCTGAATGCAAATGATGAGCCCTAACGAAGCAGTCAAGCTGAACCAGCGACAACTGCCGTGAGTGAAATGTAGGGGAGGGAGAGGGGTGAGAGGGAGAGAAAGGGGGGGGGGGGGGGGGGGGAGAAGAAGTAAAAAAACACATGAATATGAGTGTAAAATATCCAACCTTCCAAAAAAAAATTCAGCATGAACAGACTCAAAAGCAGCAGCAGCAGTGTTGTAAATCAATAAGTGTTTCTGGCAGTGGCAGCTCACAAAAACACTCCTGTTTCCTGTTTGGAAACTCCAGTCGAAGTGACAAGACAGACATTAGTACCTTGTTAAAAATATACAAAAAGGCAAGCCATGTGTTGTGCTCTGCAAAAAAAAAAAAAGTTAAAACATGTCTCCTCTCCCAGGGAGCTGAAATGCCAAATGAACATGAGCTGGCACCTGAGGAAGAAAAACAGAGCACGCTCTGCACCCGCTAAAATGCGTGAGCAAATTGTGGATTTACTCGCTCGCTGCCACACATTCATTATCCCGCTATGTCTCTCTCTTCCTTGCACACACACGCTCACACATATTACTAGTGCGTGTGCACGCGCTCTCAGCAGATGTAAACAACCAGCTTCATAGTGTATTCAGAGATGAAGATGTACTTGTCAGCGTCCTCTGCATGCAGCGGCTGTGGATCACTTCTTTAAATTCGAATACAGATCTTCAGGGTTTATTTATTCCACCCTGATATTTTATTGCTGTGGCAGTATTTTTAATTAGGCATTATAAAAACAGCAAGGATTATGCACTAATAACCTGAGTACAGAGCATCTGGCAAGTAAACTTAACAGCTTGGATCAAGTGGCGCCTGAACATTGCAACAAGACAGCTGTGACTCCTTTATTGGTGTAAAGAGAATAAAATCCCAACATTTCATCGATTGACAGTAAATGGAATAGGGCTGGGAGTTTTTACCCAAACTATACTTTTTTTCTGATAGCTTACTTTGTGGAATATCACCTTTCAATGTTTTGCTACAAAAACCTTTTTAACATCTAACAGCAGAACTTTTCCTCACGACATTGAAGTCTAAATAGTGGCAAATTGATATTTTTAGAACGTTACAGAATGGTACAAATCTTTGCATTTGGCACATTTACGACTAAACCTAATTTACAACATTTTGAAGTTCAATACGTAGCCCTACAGTTGCTTCTATCCCCTAATAATCCATATGATTTTCATATAGAAGTGTAAACATAGACAAGATATTCACTGTAATCTTGAAATCCCTCAAAACAACTGTGATGAAGAATCAATTAATCTGGTTGGACGTGTAAGACTCACAGTTAATCTAAGAGAGAAGATTGCAGTCAGAGGCAGACATGACAGTTAACAACCCCCGCCCTCCCTCGTTAGTGCAAATTATGCAACACATCCACTTACACCTTTAAGAGACTCTAGAGGAAAACGTTTTACCTGTCCACCATTCTCATTAAATCCAGACAGATCGCCCACTCACTCATTCAGTCCGCCTCATCAGAGTCACTGGAGACCGACGCTGTGTATGGGAATGTGTTGTTAGTCAGCATGCTCGACTAGGACCTTATTAGGGCCCCGTGCAGGTTTACATGATCAGTAAGTAGCCTCCCCCAAACTCTCAGCTGTCCAACGGTCACATCTCATAGCTCAGAACTCTGTTGGATGATTATATGAGCAGATTTCTTCGTGGCATTGTCTCTTAACAGGTGTTATATGGTTTGGATATTACTCTAGATTTTGCTTACATGTCAAAACAAACAATAGATTGTTATTGAGGCCAGATTGAGAGGATAACCAACTCCTTTTTTTCTTTTTACAAAGACTGTGTGGAATTTTAAATACTGCAAAAATGTGTGTTGTGGTTGTATTTAAGATTGACGTTAATAAAACCATCACTGGAAACATTGACAAACATGGTCATGTGACTGAAAACACCTCTATGTCTCAAGTCAATTCTGGTGATTTCATTGGTTAAATATCTATTTACATTAACAGGCAACCAAAAGTAAAAAAAAGTTGTTTAATCATAGACAGGTGAAGCATAAAAAGATAGGTGTACAACAATGATGTCTTAGTCTTACTCTGAAATACTAAATGTACACATAAAACATTATACAACAGGTAGTATCCTGGTTACAGAGCACTGAACTGCTGCCTACATCTCTGTGGTCTCCAGTGATATAAATATACAAAATGCCAAGTCAGCCTATTTATTTTGTCTCCCGATATCCTGCAAATAATGTTTCAAAGTTTACAAACTCCAGCTTCCACATGTGATTATGATCTCGATTAAACTGCCAAATAATTTCCCTCTATGTATCGTGTGCCCAATCTCCCAGTTTGAGACGGAACAATCTATTGAAACAGTCAGAGCCCATTTGGAAACATACTTGCTAAATTCAATTTTGTTTTTCCAATTTGGACAAATATGACAAACATAATATATTTGATCACAGTAAACAAACTGTATAATGTGTCAATAATGACCAAAAACAAAGAACATGCTTTAGGTTTTACTCGTCTACATAATACTGTCCCAAACAACCACATAAAGAACCTTTAAATGAACAACCAAACATACGAAACTTCAAAGCATCAAAATGTACAATATCTAGAGCAGGAAATATACAGACACGTGAGTGTTTTGAGTTGGAGGCACACAGATGCGTGTTGTCCTTCCAGAGTCAGTGTTTTCCAGCATGTCAGAGACACAAACGACATGCTGTCAGAGATTCCTTCAGTCTTTCATTCACATTATTTACTCCACGAGCAACTCAAAGTCCTCCGCCTCCTCAAACTCTGCGTTCATCTGGGCGGCCAGTGCGTCCAGCTCTGTGGTGCCGATCTGCTGGACCTTCTTCCTCCTGCTCCTCTTCTCCTTCACCATAACCACTCCGGGGATGTTTAGGTCCGTCTCGGGGAAAGCAGAACCACAGTTTTCCGCCTCAAGCAAAGACGTGAATGAGTTCAGACCAGACAGGGATCCACAAGAAACCCCGAGACCCGTCTTGGATCGCAGGACTCTCGGGCCCACCTCGGGTGTGTTCATCTTCTCAAAGCCGAACAGGTTATCCCGGGAGTCCGGGCTGCTGAAGGACTTGTCGCTGAGCCTGCTGTAGGAGCGGCGCACCTTCTGCGACCACACCGCGTCCTCTGGATCCGCTGCCGGCTGTTGGGAGTGAGGCCGGGCCGGCGGTGAGGAAGGGAGGATCGGTGACAGAATAGCGGCCTTCTTCTTCTTCTTCTTCTTGGCCGAGGAGGAGCCCTGCGGATTCTTCTGCTGGCTGCTTTCTGACACCGCCCGTCTCGGCGTGTTCTCCTTATTGTGCTCCGACGGTGCCACTGTTTTTCTGGGTGCTATTTTCCTCACAGTGATGGAGCGTTTAACAGCAACCGAGGTCAGCGCCATTTCGTTGTCAGTTTTAACGTGAGCCTGAGGAGCTGAACTCAGACGCGGCGACCGTCTCCTCTGTGAGCTGTTTATATTATTAGATCCCGCCATTATGTTGTGGAGCATCCCTTCGTTCATACTGACCATTTTCCTGGTGAAATAAACGATTATCAGTGGAGTTCCTCGACAATCGGAGGGGGTAGTATCGCCACACAAATAACAGCAGTCCGCTCAAATCTTAAATTGCCCGCCCGAGTCGCGTAGAAAGCACGAAACGTCGTTTTCCGGTGACGACATCAGCCCGCGCCACCAATCTCAAACTTTTGCTGTGTAATCTGTACAGCCGAGGTTAAGAGACGTCTGCTATCTCTGATTATTATAGAAATCGTTCAGCTCACATCTGTTTAACAGAATGGAGTATTTAATTGGCATACAGGGACCAGATTTCGTCCTCGTCGCCGCCGATAATGTTGCAGCCAACAGCATCATTCAGATGAAACACGGTATGACAACGCGTTAGCTTAGCGTTAGCCACTCAGCCGGTTGCTTTAGCTAAATCTGCTAACAAGACATGTAGTCATAGCTCTTGTTCACGTTAAAACCAGCCCGTTGTACTGATAAATAGTGCGTACAATTCTTTCTTCTTATTGCAAATTGGTGCAGTGTGAAACGTCCCCATTATCGAAACGTAACCACATATTCCGAATGTGACTTGAGCTAGCAAAGCTAACAGCAATGTTAGCTACGATAAGTTTAAGTTGCGGATACATCTTTCTCATTGTGTTTTAGCAATTTGTGTACTTTTCTTTAGATACCTCTAACTCACACAAGTATGCGTTCAATTAGTGTCACGTACTACCCTGAGTTAACTCCATTTGATGCATTTGAATATCAAGCTACCGTTAGCATGAGCTGTTCACTGTGACAGTGAAAGTGAAAGAGATTAACGTTGCTCACTCTGGCAAACAGTACACGAGCACTTAGATAATTCGTAAACACAACGATGATAATAAATTATGTTCCTTGTTTGTTTTTTCAGACTATGACAAGATGTTCAAACTGAGTGAGAAGATCTTGTTGCTGTGTGTTGGAGAAGCAGGGGACACAGCCCAGTTTGCAGAGTACATCCAGAAAAATGTTCAGCTCTACAAGATGAGGAACGGTAAGGATGATGATTGTGTCCTTCCTTCTCCTTGGAGGTCTCCACATGAACTCCAAAATATGTAGTAATGATATCGCATAGAACCACACAGATATAACTTTGTGTCTCGATGACATCTCTTTGCCTCTTATTTTTGTTGTAGGTTATGAACTCAGTCCAGCAGCAGCAGCAAACTTCACAAGAAAGAATCTTGCCGACTACCTTCGGAGCAGGGTAGCTATCACAACACACAAAACAATCAACAAAGTCTATAAGAGAACATATGTCACACAAATCCATATGAGCTTTAAGCTGTCTTTGTATTTTGTGTCACCATTAACTGAGTGGCAAACCAGCAGATTATCCACTACACCAAAACCGCTAGTGATACAATTACATTGAGTTAGAATATAATGGGTCAAACTACAAGTTTATGAATTCAGATCAGTTGCTCATGTTCACACAAACTGTATAAAGCCGTCTTGGTTCGTGTGAGCTTCAGACCCGACACTGATGTGATCCATTTTGACTTATCAAGTAAACAGTGGCTTTAAAAAAAACATTGAACAATCAAGCTTGCTGAGCCAAAGCATAAAATTACCTTATTGCAAAGTGTAGAAAGCTATGTATTTATTTTAGCTTGCATTATTTGACACTTCCATTCGAAATTTGTCCACGTTTATTTGATTTTGTTTGAAATCATTTGTTCCTGTCTTATCTAAACGCGGTGTTCAGCTTCCCATAAAGCAGAGGTAGCAATGTTTATGTTGTGTGATTTAGTCTGTTTAAGGGAGCCGTTTGACAGATATGACTATAATCAAGTAATTGTTTGAGTTGATGGGCCACATTTTCTTGTTTGAACCTCATCACTGCGCACAATCACATAAGAGATGATGTCTTTTTGTGAGGTAACGTTTGCTCCTTTTTGGCTCTGCACAGGAGACAGACAATTAATTTATAGCATTTTGCTTCTGATGAAGAACAAAAAGCTCTTTGGTGAACAGTCAGTTGATATGCACCTATTTGTTTATTTAGCTACACACTTTTTAACTGAATATATGCACAGCCTTTAAAAAGTTTGGAGTCACCTGCTCTATTAACGTTTTTCTTCTTTCCTTCAATAATAACTCTTAAAAGAGACACAAAAAAGTATAATTCAGCCACTAAATGTATTATTTACTTTTAAAATAGTTTTGACCCCAAAAGAAGAATTACGCGATATGATTCAAACGTAGCCACATTTAAGTGAAGTTAGTTAACTAATAAAGCTACTTGGTCAAAACAAACTAAAGGCAACCAGCCAAGTAATGTAACACAATTTGTTTCACAGTCATTTTATACAATTACTTTTACTGCGCTGTCAGATAGGGTCGTGTGAAATTAGAAAATTGTCTTTGAAAACAAGAGCACACATTGATATTTACAGAAAACAAGCTGAACGGCCTTGTGGTATCAACACAGATGTAAATTTAACTTGCACCGTCTGCTGCACTGAGTTGCCGCGTATCCTCTGACCTGCTCCTTCTTTTATGCTTCTGGTGTACATGTGGTGTTTTTTTTTCTTCCTGTGCGCTTAAACAAACCTTTTCAAACTCGCCTGTATCTGAGTATATTCCCTCGGTTAACACAACGGTAGCTAATTAATCCACGATACCAGTGGTCACCCTCTGAATTAAGCATATTCATCTCGGAGTAATGAGTGAACATGCCTATAAATATTTTAATTTCTATTTTAACTTAATTACCTTCCTCTGTTGGCATTTACAATCTCATTTGGCTGTAGGGAACGAATGATAGAATCATTAATTAATTAATCTAAAGCAATACTCACTTCAAATGGCGGGGACAGTAACCATATGCAGTTTACTCACCCTTGTCAGAAATATATTTCCTTATAATTCCTGCTTTAAATTATTATTTGTTTTAATTAAATCGACAACGCTCAAACCCAATTGCCTTGATGACGTCACTGTCCTGTGATGTTCTGGTGGGAATTAAGCCTCACCTGTAATTACACCTCCGTTTGTGCCTCTTATCAGCTTGAGCCATCTGAGCTGAACCAGTAGATGCATTTTGACAGTACATTAGTCAGCTCGTTGTGAGTGGTGACGGAGGTTTTCCCTCCTCTGAGACTTTGTGACAACACCTGAGCCTGCAGCACCGGTCTCCCACCCCAACTGCACCGTTGCTCTGGGTATATTATCCAAATATCACGGCGCTGACCTTCGACACTTCAACACCAAAATCTGACCAAACAAAAATAAATGAAGGTGCAGATTCTTTCCTCATTTCTGAGCGCAACCAGCTAATTTATCAGTTTGCATGTTTGAGTTGGCAGTGTTATTTATGCCAAACGCGTCTTGAAAAAGTGCAGCGCTTTTAGTAATTATTATGTGTTTCCTGAAGGCCTTGCAGAGACCTGGGAGCCCTGCAGAAGCAAAACACACTTTCAAGCAGGCAGTAGAGTGAAAGGCACACAAGCAAGAACTAGATGTACATGCATCTATACTGTAGAACAAGCATGGAGACTTACTCTCTGAATTCAATCCCTGTTTAGCCATTTTATTATATACTCTACTTAATCTACACTTGAATGTTAATAGGTGAAGTTTTAAAGGTCACTGGAGTTTCAGTTACACCCCCAATTTGCAGGACAACACCAAATTCAGTATGTAGCAATCAGTGTGTGTCTGTTTGGTAACTTAGTTTAGAGACAAAGTCAATTTTATTTATGTAGCCTAAAGTCACTAAAGTGCCTTGGGCACACAGAACCCTGTATGCTGAGAGGAACCCCCAAACTGCTCAATGCGTCAGTGTTGAAGAGCTTAATTAACATGTAATCTGAAGTGAGAGAAGTGTCCTGATGTAAAACAGGAAACATAGGTGCATCTAAGAATCTGACCAACTTTGGATACTTTTCAATACTTGTTTGGTTCCCAGCCCCAATGAGGCCCGTCATGCAGACTCTTTGCCCCCGCCACCCCAAAATCTGAGCATCTGCTGACTAAGCCCATACCGTGTGTGCTTTTGAAAACATTAGGAAACATATTTGTACGGCCGCAGCTAACAACTACTGTCATTATCAATCAATCTGCCGATCATTTTTCTATCTTTTATCTGTTGTTTGGTTCAGAAAATGGTGGGCCGTCATAATTTCCCACAGCCCGAGATGATGTCCAAACGTGTTCAACTGTCGCATAGAACTGGAAAATCAGCAAATCCTCACGTTTGGGACGCTAAGAACAAGACATCCTCGCTTAAAAATGACATCAATCCATCACCAAAACAGTGACGTGATCATTTTCCATTGATTGACTAATTGTTTGAGCCCTGCATACATTTTACACTTGTTCCTTGTTGTAGCACACGTTAGTGTGTGTGTGTGTGTGTGTGTGTGTGTGTGTGTGTGTGTGGGCGGCGGCATATGTGCTTCTATATGCGAGGACAAGTCGGCTCTGCTTCTCCCAACCCGCCCTTTGAGCATCGCTCGCACTAATTTGTTAAGAGCAGTGCAGCCGCTGCCTGTCACAATAGCAGAAGGGTGAAAATAATTACAAAAAACAATTAGTGTGGCAGAGGAGGGAATGTGGGACACATCGAACGGGGGATAGGGGCAGAGCAGGGGGAGGGGGAGGTGTGGGGGTCCCATGGGGAGGCAACCAGGCCCAGCAGACAACACCGCGCAGACTTAGTGTGAGAACGAGTAGGAGTCAACAACATAACGCACAGACACAACGCACGGGAGGGACCTATAGAATCGGGATGTTTTTTTTTTTTTTGTTTTTTTTTCCCCACTTCTGTCAAGGTTGCACATGTTGTAGAGGATGACATTTATATTCATGTCTTGCCACGAGCGGCGAGTGTATCGTTATTTTTTTCCGTGCCTCACGGTGATGAATTTGGTTTTATGAGTGCAGGATTTACTAATGCCGCGTTCTCAGGAGTGCTCAGAAACTGAAGCAATAGCAGTTTCTCCTCTGCATCCCACACCTTCCTCCAGCTACGCTCCTCTCACATTCATCAACCTCCAGAGTGCATGGACATTTGCAAATTATGTTGTATAAACAGGGCTTTTTTTTTTGTCTCCCGCCCCAAAC